ATACTTTTGATAGCACTTTTTTTTCACACCTATAGTGTTTTTGATTAGATATATATCACCATACAACTTAATATAGAACAATCAAAACCATCCACTATCTTAACATGGAAAACATATAATCTTGCTTACTTGGATCAACCTTAACCTTTTTTTTTGTGTAATTTAATTGTGTGGGATGAAGGAGGATTGCCTTACTCTCAAGCACACGCACACACAAAAACCTAACACGCGAGGTTATAAAGTGTAGGATTACAGCTTACAAGACAAATTTTCAACCCTGTTTTATTGGGGCTACATGATAATCTTGTCTGAAAAGATTAGATTGTCAGGTCAGTAGCTTGTTCATATCCGGCATGGATGTTTTTATGCACAAGTTTATATATTATTTTATAAAGGCTATAGATTCTCAGTTTAGTCTTTTTTCGGGTTGTCAAAAACAGTAGAACATGAGGTAGAACAAAAGATGTTATTTTTCTGTAGACCTATACTGTACCTTTGGTCAAACATAGAAAAGATTATAATATAAAATAGTGCTCTTCAAATGGAAATTCAAAATTGTCCAGAATTTAGATAATTTTTTCAGTAACCGTTATTCTGTAAATAATTTCAAGTACCTCCTGAACACGAGCTCTCCAAATTAAATGGTGTGTTTAATGGTACCTGTAATGTAAATGGCTTCCTACACAAACCAAACTTGATGTTTTGCTTTTTATTAAGTTTGAGCTTTTCTTTGTCCATGTTTGTTTTCAGGGATCCCACCAGACCAACAAAGATTGATATTTGCAGGAAAACAGTTGGAGGATGGCCGTACTCTCTCAGATTACAACATTCAAAAAGGTAAGTTTTAATTGAGCAGTTTAGACAAACAGATGAGTGAAAGGAAAAAAAGATGTGACCAATTAACACTGGCAGTTAATCTCTGGAGTGATATGGGTAAAACACACTAACCTTGTATATATGTCAGAAAACTGGCATTAACCAGGCATGTATTACAGGTGGTTTAAAATGTGCATGTCATGACCTTTTTAGCAGAGTTACATAAAAAATTTAAATAATTCTGTTATTAATGTATTTCAGTAAATTTGGTCTAAAAACATAGTTTATATACAGTTCAAGTCTTGATTACTTAAGTTTTACGTTCTTAACTTTGTAAGGAAATTTGTATACAAATTATCAGTTTTCACTACATTGGGGCACGTGACACAATTGACACTCTGATTTCACCGTGTTTATTTTTTTCCATCTCTTTTATGCCTTTCAGACTGTCCAGCCAATTAGAAACACAAACTATAAATGCTGGCAGACTAGAAAGTAAAAAAAATATTTATTTGATTTGCTGAGATATAATTAAAGGTGTCCAACCTGCAAACCAGGTTTCTCCCATCTTGTCATAGCTTTTGTGTATTTTCTAACCCGTGTGGTACATTCTAAATATACATGTTCATAACCAATAGAAAAGCCAGGAATCAGTGTCCTGCCTTATCAGTTTCTGTGATTTATTTTAGTTTGTAAGAAAAGTTCAGTGTATTCAGAGTAAAGGTGATGCTTTGTGTAATAATGAAATATTTTTTAACCAAGAAAACTAGATAAATTGGAGTAGTTTTAGGATAATCTATTCTTGTGTCTGATATGCATTTTACGTTCAGAAATGCATATTTGACAGTTACATGAATTATTTCGTAGATAGCACGCATTGTGTGAAAAAGTAGTCTGAAATATGTTTCAGAGTACAAATAGGTAAGGAAACATAAGGTAAATGCTAAGATTACTTGTTTTTTGTGTATATATTTTTTTTATTTTCTGTTATATAATCTCTAACCAAAGTAAGTAAAATATAAGAATTAACGTATTTTGGTAGATAAGAAAACTTAAATTGAAATAATTACAAATATTTCTTATAATTGCTTGCTTGCTTGGCTGGCTTGTGTAATTCGTGTTGTGTTAGATTGTGTGATGCGACTTAATCCATTTATTTATATCAAGCTATCCCACTATTATATTTCACATACTAAGAGACTAATTACACTGTAAAGTAAAAAACTAAGATAAAGCAGATGTGAAAAGGCTAGAAAGCTGACAGATTTTTAATAAGATATTTTTACTGAGGATTTGTCTATGATCTATGATGCCTCTACCGAGTTAGTGTTGGTAAAAAGAAATTTTCATCAACATAAAAATACTTCTTTTCAACTGCATAATCCCTAGAACCTCCCGATTGAACATCACAAGTTTATTTTTGGTAAAACTTTATATCTCATTTTCTTTACCTTAACACTAAACAGCAAATTCCTCAACGTACAGTGACATTATAAACTGAAAAATATCAAATAAAATCCCCTTTTTTTCTACAATGACTGAAAATTATAACAGACAATTTGATTTATCCAAACACCCATCTTCTGTGTATAATAAAGTAAAAAAGCTTGCCAAATTTTGTAAAGATACACTTAATACATTAGTTATAGTGTTATGGTTACAAGGGCAGTTAGGTTGAGCGAGCCTGTTTGCCTTGGGTTAAAGAAGAGTATTAAATAGTCTTGGGTCTTGCATTAACCATATTTATTATCTAGCATATATGTATTTTAACTGTATACTGTACGAATTAGTGTCAGTTTTATTATCTTAGCCTGGTCATTTTCAAATTCTGATTTTAATTAAAAGTAAAATCATTGTTTATTTTACAGTTTTTGTAAACGTTTCTCTAACATGTGTTTATTGTTTTCCATTTTGTTTCTTTTAGATATTCAAACAGACTAAGTAACATTTTCTAGAAAGTAAAAATATTACATAAGAACATAATAACAGACTAATTGACAGGATCTATTGGGCTGATTGAGATCACCCAGCAGAAAAACAAATAATTCAGCCTTAACATAAACTTTCACATTCATTAAATTATCAGACAAAACTTGAGTTCAAACTCCCAATGCATACCAATCTTATCTGACAAACCATTCTACATTTTAACTACTCTTACAAAGAAAATATATTGCTTAATAGCCAGCTGGATGCAAGTTCCACAGCTTTATATAGTTATTTCCTTTATTACTTAGGATTTCACCCCCAACCTTATCCTTCCACTGCTCCAACAAGTCCCAAATGATTGTAAACACTTGAATCAGATCATCTCTACTGCTTCTTCATAGCTAAAATGTTTCAAATCGGGAATTATTTTGGTAGCTTCTCTTTGTACTTGTGCAAGTAAATAAATATCCTTACTGTCTTAGATAAGGAGATCAAACCTGGACATGATAGCAAAAATGAGGTCTTACCAAATTTTGAATGAAGTGATAATCTCACTACTTCTGAACACAAAATAGATTCAAAAACCCATTTAATGTTTTCACCATTCGACTAAAGGCTAACTTTCAGCTAACTTTTATCAGTTATCACATGCAGGTTCGTAATATCCACAACACTACATCTTACATGCAAACTTTTTATACATTAAGTTTTTTTTAAGTTATTTGTGAATTGCTTGAAATGAAATTTTCCTAACATGGTTTGCAAAGTCATTTTAAAAATTAATCAGGGGTACAAAACAATGCGAGAGAAACTGGGATAAATATTTTCTAAACTTATAAAACTATGTTAGTGTTCCCAAAGCTTGTAAAACATTTACTGAGTTAGTTTGAGTGAATTTATTTTCATGTTAAGAATAAATGACTTTCACTACAGTTTTTGTATTTCCTTCACATAACCTATAGTACCCTCCTAAATGAATATCAAGTAGTTTTTTTTGGTAAACTATTTTATCTTATTTTCTCTGACTAAATCTATAAAATCATTAATGTACAGTTAAATGAAAATATAAAATAAAGTTAATTTTTTTTTTACCTCTGCAGTGACTAAAATATTAATCAGAATTTTCCAAATTATATAACAGTTTCAACTGAACCTTTTCACAGCTGTTTTCTTTTAGTTTTATGGTTTTATTACTGTAATTATTAAGCATTGAAGCAGTAATCCTCATGTCATAAGCAATAAATTGTAGTGGGAGCCCATTAACTTCCATAGAGCAAAAATAAATAGCATGTGATCTAATTGTCATTTTTTACACCACACTTGAACTATTGAAATTTTGTTATATTTTACTAAAGGTTTGTTAGCTAAACTGAGAAGAAGCTTATTTTTATATTTTATTTATTTTTGTTGAAAAATATTTAACAATAAATAACATTTTACATAAACAAGGATTTGTGGTATTTTCTGTGTACTTGAGTTGTTTGCACTTGAGTAAAAGCCTTAGATGTTGAATCTCACAAAGTTGGTACCCGTAAGAATTCATGGAACTTTCAAATTTACATTATAGAAGACAAGATATAAGTTACTATAATAGAATATGGTAAAACTACTATAATATATTTGGCTTTCTGCATAAGCTATAAATAAATTGAAAATTTCAATAATTTTTAAAACAGGCTGCTGCAGTTTTAAACCAACTAAGAACACAAACTATATATAATTACAAGCAAGAATCTCACATATGAATTTCCTACTTTCTTGACTTACCGAAATATTGATAAATTTATCAAACCTACTGGAGACACCCCTCCAATATTGTATGCTAATGGACATATTTACAACCAATACAAAGAGTAATCTCCTCTTCGTTCAGATTTGGTCACTGTAAGTTTATAGTCCCGGAAAACTGTTGGTTTGCATTATCACATATAGTGCTCCAAACAATAAGAAAAATTCCAAATAAGGAAAAATCAGAGCTCGGTTATGATGCAAGCTAATGGTTGAGATTTTTTTAAATATTTCTTTTTGCAATTAAAACCTAAAACTTATATAATACAGAAATTTGAATTATAAGTTACATTTTCAAACCAAGTCATAACTGATAGAGTTGTTTGGTGTTTAATTAAATCTTGAATGTAACACTGAAAAAAGTCATGATATGCACATGTTGATCAGATTGTACGGGAAAAAAGTTATTGTATTTTAAAATATATTCTACTGAAAGAATCTTCTGTAAGAAAACATTTCAGAAGTAATTACTTTTGTTTTAAATTCCAGACATCTTTTTGCACTGGCTTATATAATGTGACCATTGCTCTGTTACAATTTAAAATCTTTGTTTTCAGAATTTTTAAGACAAGTAAAGGAGGCCATTATGCCTAAATAGAGTGGTTTATAGAGGTTGTGCTTAAAGAAAAAGTAGAGCTTGCAAGTATTTTATCTTTGGAGTACATTTTATTATATTTTCTATACATGTTGCTTTAATCAGGTTGTATATCATCATAAATAAAATTGTGAATGCCAGGATGAACTCCGTTAAAAGTTACTTTAATCCATGTTGACATGATGAGCATGTATTAGCATATTAAAATTCTATGAACTGAAATACAAGTTAGCTTGCACGCCAAAACCTATCATATTAACATAATACAATTTGTGTTATAAACATGACTGATTTCAAGGTCAGTTTTTACATGCACATTTTTATCTCTTTTATAGCCTTAATTCATATTCAGATTTTTTAATGGTTTACAAAATGTTCTGAAAAAAAAATATTTGGTGTCTTAGAAAACCTAAGGAGTAGAACAGAAAATGTTATTGTCAGTCAGTAAGCTGATTTAGTGAAAATTTCAAGCTTTTACATAAATCCACAGTGTCACTGATATGTAACTGTCTTCTTCACAGTTTGTTATTTGTATTAACAGAGAAATTTTTTCAGAATCCACTCTTCATCTGGTTCTAAGATTTCGAGGTGGTGTAATTGAGCCCAGTTTGCATATTTTTGTTATTCGTATTAACAGAGAAATTTTTTCAGAATCCACTCTTCATCTGGTTCTAAGACTTCGAGGTGGTGTAATTGAGCCCAGTTTGCGTATTTTGGCCCAGAAGTACAACTGTGACAAGATGGTTTGCAGAAAGTAAGTAGTACCAGTTTGAATGGCAGACTTTTTCATTTATTCATTTAATTTTTGTCCTGTTTATCACCATTAAGCTTACCTTAAACTTATCCAGTAACTTCAACCATTGTATGCTAAATTTCTGATAATGCTGTAAGGTAGAATACATTTTCATTGAAGCTATTAAGTGTTTTCTTGGTTGATTGTATAAAAGACTCAGTTTCAAGTTATAAACTAACAATTAGATACATCGTATATCCTATATCTTTAGACAGAGTAGTGAGTAATTTTTATTACTGAATCCAGCCTTTTTTTTTAAATGTTCAGTTTAGTAATATTTCTTAAAATTTTGTTCTTTTTAAATTATTGGGCAATGTTTTTAAAATAGAACTTTACCATAACTTTTTGGCTGTTCTTTAGGTTAGTTGCCAGAAGAGAGATTTTTTTTTTCCACTTATTTTTCTTAATCTTTACATTTAATGGTTGTTACTGTATTATTTGTAGAATCTTCCTGTGATACACACCCTCTATTGGTATAATCCTGCTTTAATTACTTTCAGCCACATACATTTTACACACAAATCTGAGCTTAGAAGACTTTCTCTTCCTCTAATTTCTTCCGTTTGTTATTTCTACTTGAAAATCTAGGTTGACCTGTATGGGATTGGTGTTTCATGGCCATTGTCTTTTGGGTTGCTATAATTACCTTTTTCTGATAAAGATAATGAGGTCATTGTTTAAACTTAAGTTGTATTCTCCCTTCATCATGGTGTGTCATTGCCGCTATATTAAAAAGTAATGTTGAGTTGCACCATAACACCGAGTGAAACCATCTGATTACTTTCAGTGATGTGTGTTCAAGATTTAAAACGTTCTTTCTGTTTGACCTACAGGTGGAACCATTTTCAGACTTGTCTAGTTGTGAATGTGTGCATATCTTGACAAAATTTAGCATATGATTACTAAACATTACAAGGCTTTTGTATGCAAAATATCAATTTTTTTTCAAGTTTTAAGCTTTCTTGAGTAATGTTTTTATCATGCCTTTTTTTTCGAATGTTGACTATTCAATATGCAAAATAACTTTGATTTTAAGATTAAAAATGCTTCTATACATCAGAACATTTTTAAAATTTCACATGCAAATTCATTATAACCTCCAGATAATAATCAAGTATTTTTTAGAAAAAACTATTTTCTTTGTTATTTTCACTACTGTATTTCTGTATGGGTTGGGTCAATTTGACTGACCTCGTAACCACCATAAAAAAGTAGGAAATAAATATAAGTTATGCTTTTTTTCATTTTAGAGTGACTACAAATTATAACATGAAAAAACATGTTTAGTCTAAATAGCTTAAATCTCATAACATTATACATTTATATATATTTATTTTATTATATTGACCTTTCAGCCATGCCTGGTTAACATTACAGAAATTACAATGATGTGGGGCATGTGCACTCATGTTACCGTATCCAAGAATATAAAACTGGCCTTTATAAAGAGACCTGTCTTGGCTGTGTTTTAGTGGACTATTATTTTGTAAAATAGTCACATTTCAGTTATAATATACTATATATGTACAT